TGAATGTTCACAGGCTATTTCTTTCTTTGTTGTGAGTTATATTAACTGCATATTTCTATTAAATTTTGTAGGTGAAGCTGTCAGTTTATATAGGTTATGCTAAGGCCATAGGTTCGCTGCCAGCTGTGTTAATATTTGTAATATATGGATTTTACCAGGCTTTGAATGTTTATTCAAGTGTTTGGCTGGAACAGTGGACAGATGATCAACTCCTGGCAAACAGATCTTTGGCCAATACTAGTATATATCAAGATAAAAATGAAATGTATCTTGGAGTTTATGGAGCATTGGGAGTTTGTCAAGGTATAATTTAATCACCCTTATCTGCCAAATTATGGTGCAATATTTCGTCATTGAATTGAGCAGTATAAGTTTTTAATGGCCGACATTCTCATGTGTGGATACATTACATCACAACACATGAGTAAGCTTTCAAAAAATAATCAAAAAAAATCAAACATGTTTCAAGAGCACACTAGCCTCCTACCGCATTGGACAGGCACACATGAAATGTCAATTTCCTTGGTAGTTGCTAACTAACATTTCAACACTCTTCAAATGGTAGTAATCAAAAATTGCTACAAAAATTTGGTATTTTCTCCTATAAGTAGTATAAGAGTATATAGATAGGGAGTATATAGATAGGGGGCACTTTTTATAATTTATAAAAAAAAAAATCACTTTTTATACACCCACATGAATATCGTCGATGCGCTTTCAAAATCTCGTATATCGCCAAAATCTCGTATATAACTTTTCTGAACGTCGAANATCTTCCCTCCGAGCCGCATCTATGTATCTTATTTTCGTACTTCTAGTCCAATTAGAAGTTCCGTTCAGGACATGTGACATAATCTCGTAAAATAATTGGTTGATTATTTTTTCCAATTAAAATCTCGAGACGGCGTTGAGCCTAGAAAATAAACAATACAGGTGAGAATATTATTGAAAATATTAAATGTATCAAAGCCGTTATGTTTTATAAGATATGTAGGAATAATAGGCATTTGATTGTTTTAGTTTAGTGATTCACATCTGCCCAATAAGCAGTACAAACCCGTAGACACCCTGAAAAGTCGTTTGTATCAAGTGATATAAATTATATGTGAGCCATGGTTTATTGTCGGTCCTCTCCTTGAAGTTGACAATTCAAATCAGTCTGTTAAAATTAAATTGGCTTTCTGACAGCGATATACGAAAATTTGATTCGCTAATATAATGAAATGAAATAATTTGATGGGAATCATATACGATATTTTGACATCTCGTTTCTTTTAAATTTTGGCATTAGTTCAATGATTTCTCTCTTTCAGGTATAAAATTATATGTTCCCGGTATGGCTGGTTTCTCCCGTGGCAAAAAGATTGTCAAAATGGCACTGAAGATTAATGATGAGACCAGTAGGTCTACTTCAGCATGTTCCTTATCTAGAGCCTCTGCATGTACAAATCGCATCATTCCATCATCTTCTACCACATCCAGTTCAGCACAGCTCTTCAATAACGTGCCAGGGAAGTTACAAAACGAATATTCATCTCCAAGTATTGAATTTTTAAGAGTCAACCCACCAACAACTTGCTTCGATGATCTATCTAAAAGACTTCCTACCGGTCCCGTTTCTACTGAAAATCATAACCTAGCACCTGCAAGAAGTATCGTGTCCAGATGGTCTAAGATTGATGGTTCTTGTACCCAGTCTTTGAGTCCAGCTCAACATATTAACGCCACAGCCGAATCCCCTTTATGCTCTCCTTTCGGAACAAAACCCAAAGTCGCTTCACCTGGTTCAAACTTGTATAGGATTCAGGGACCATCTGTTCGTCAGATTACACCTACAAAATTACCAAATTACGACTCCGATGACTTCGGAAATGAGTACGAGAGTGACTTTGACGACAGCGATAACGACCCGAACTGGCATCCAGAGAAAAAGCGAAGACTACTCGTTTTCAGTTCCGATGATGGTGTTGAACCATTGCCAGATGATGACGACGATGACATATCTTTGCCTAACAAACCAACCAATGCCGACGTACAGGTCACAAACCCAGATTCACCTAACACACCACGATTAACTGATGGCAAATCTAAACGATCAAGGCGTGGTAAACGAATTCCTTTACAATGGGATAGAAATGTAAACCAAATTCTTCGCATGAAAGGAAAATCTTACCCGG